TCAAAGCTCTTTCATTGATAAATCGTAACACTGCATAGTTTGGACTTACACGACTCGAACTCCCTTCTAGTCTAGCCACAACTACACACGACCCTATCAACTATTTCTCCGGCCCTGAGCTTCGTTTGATAGTACTTTTGGAATAGGCTTTTTACTATATTTAGGGCAGAAGCCTGACTCAAAGGTCATTTTCATTCTTAAGATGAGCGAATTCCCGTTGACTTTTTACCAACACTTATCCCTAAGTGTACAATACAAAAATGTTTGAATAGTATAGAAAATAATAAAATAAAACAAAACAGATTCAGTTCTTCAACAAGTACAAACGCTGAAAAACTGAACTGTGAATGAAAGTGAAAACAAAAAACTCTTGAAGCTCGAATATTGCTCTCGTGAATAATAATTGCAGCAACCCCAAGTCGATTTTCAAGGTGGGTATATACAGCTTCTTAGGTTTGGAGTCTTCTTCAAACATAAGACTCCTTCCTTGGATTTACTTCCTTTCATAAGATTAGAATTATGGTAAGTGTAGATCTCTTGTTTCTCTCTCCAAGATCTCCTACTCATCATGCCTTTTTTTCCTTGTTTCCACATAATCTGGTTTCCTACAATATAAATACCATAATAAGATCCAAGCAATGTTATATATAAGTAATTAGAATAATCTAAGTAAGGAAATAAATATTCACAAAGATCTTCCATTTTTCTGTGGTTTCAAGTGTTTGTTCGAACATGTCTTCAACTGTGTGTTAATTCGAACTAATGCCAAATAAAAATATCTTTCATCATATCAAAGTGAAATAATAATAATAATAATAATAATAATAATAATAATAATAATAATAATAATAATAAAAATATCAGTTATAACTACACGTGTTGATTTATAAGTGCTTACCTAGCAGTCATATTTTATTATAAAAAATATATACGTAATATATTTTAGAAATTTAATTTAACAAAAATAAAATAATATCATCTAACAATATATCTGTGTAGACTAAATTTTTTATTTCTATTATTCTTGTATATCATAGAAGAAATTTGTGATATATACAACAAAATAAACTATGTACTCCTTGGCATATATAAAAAAGAATATATACGCAATGTATTTTAAAAAAATAACAAAAATAAAACAATATGACATCTAACAATATATCTATGTGTAGGATAAATTTTTTATTTCTTTTATTCTTGTATATCATAGAAAGATTTGTGATATATATAATATATACAACAAAATAAACTATGTACTCGTTCACATATAGAGGTGTTATACGAAAATAGCTCTTGTGAGATCAGCTCAGCTCGACTCATTGGATAATGATTCGAGTTTGAGCTCGTTTAAAGTTTGCTCGGTTAACGAGCCAAGTCGAAAAGACTCGAAAATAGATTATTTTTATATAATTTCTTATAGTTCGACTCTGTTACGATCGAATTTAGCTTGTTTATGCTCAAGTTCGACTAATTCATATTGATAAACGAGTCGAGGTCAATTACTCATTACGTTAAACGAGGTGAGCTGATCTTGGTTCGTTAAGGGTTTGACCTCGAGCTCGACTCGGCTCGTTTACACTTCTATCTCACATACTATTAATTATTAATTATTAAAATCGATCTATATTTTTATTTTGTTTTATTTATTCACAACCATATTCTTCTTTTTTTTTCTTGTATCTACGATTAAAGTAAAAAAATAATTCAAAAATTTGGCAAATTTTCATATTGTTATTGTGCTGATAAAATAAGCCCAGCAGCCTCGCCTACATGTAACATTTTGGACCAATACTTTTGAAGATGGAAAAATTACATTATATCCCACTTGACGACACCTTTAAATTAAATTAAGCCCTCAATAAAATAAGCCCAGCAACCATTTTTCTTTGAAGACACCTTTAAATTAAATTAAGAACGCAGCCCATACAATAGCCCATATTTATCCATGTCACTTAGATCATGCTAGCCCAATTCAGAACTTACTCCAAGCCCATTTATAAAACCCAACTTCACTTACACTCACCTTCAAAGCCCATATCCGATTATTATCGGCCTATGTCTAAGTTGGCATGAAGGCCTTGGTCCTTGGATATCTACTGTACTTTTTGTCTCATTATCAATGAAAACAAACGCATCTATGATCACATAAAATAGATTAACACCAAAAAACATTAGTATAACACGAACACAAATAAATGATGTAGCGAAATTCAAACTTATAATATTATATATCTATATGATCGTATAATTAGATAGACAACACAAAAAAAACAATAGTGAAATACGAACACGATAAAACACGATAAAACGATAAAATACAACACGATAAAACAATAGTGAAATACAACACGATAAAACGCGCGATTTAACCCACAAAAACAAATCATTCCGCAATGGACCACAATATGTAGAGAGCTTGTTGCTTTGATAGAAATAATAGGAAAGAACATCAAAGTGTGACAATAGATCATTCCCTTATCATAAGCTATTTTTATTTTCTTTTTTTTTTCAATCATTTCATTAAATTTGTTCAATCTTTTACAAATAATGACATATCCATCCGCCGCTCGATACAATAATAAATAATTAGTAGTACAATATTTTTTTACAATTGCAATAAATATAGCAACACTAACTTATGTTCTTGGATGAGTCCTAACGAGTCAAAGCAATGATGCAATAATCTCATAAAAACAAAGTTACTTTTATCATTATAAGTGGGAAAAGTGTGATTGTCATGTAGCGATGAAGAGCATATTGCATGCATGTGAGAGGAAGCGTGGGGATTTTTGCATCATTAAATTTAGCTCTCTCTAATTTCTTTGTTGTTATTATCTAACAACTATTTATTTATATATTTTTTGGTAGCCAGCCACGTTAATTCGTTGGTCGACCCATGTCGCACACCTGGCAGTGGTGACTGAGTCTACCAAAAAAGATTTTCTGCATCTACAAGGACTCGAACCCGAGACCTTACTTAAGTGACATCAAGTTGCTTCTCACTTGAGCCAAACTATGTTGGTTATTTATTTATTTTGGTAGCCAGCCACGGTATCCGGAGCTATGCCCCGACTAATCCGTTGGTCGACCCGGGTCGCACACCTGACAGTGGTGAGTGAGTCTCCCAACAAAGGTTTTCTGCATCCACAAGGACTCGAACCCGAGACCTTGCTTAAGTGACATCAAGCTGCTTACAACTTGAGCCAAGCTATGTTGGTTATTAATTTATTTATTTTGGTAGCCAGCCACGGTATCCGGAGGTATGGCCCGACTAATCGGTTGGTCGACTCATGTCGCACACCTGGCAGTGGTGAGCGAGTCTCCCAACAAAGGTTTTCTGCATCCACAAGGGCTCGAACCCGAGACGACCTTGCTTAGGCGAGGTCAAACTGCCTACCGCTTGAGTCAATCTATGTTTATATTTATTTAGTTTTTGAGTGTTAGTAATTGATTGGTTGCATTAAGCTAGTCAAAAGTGATGATGTTTGAGGAATATAATATTTTCTTTTTGGATGAACTCTAAATTA